AAAAAAAAGGTATGCCAACATCAAGAAAAAATTATGCAAAAAAGATGCTTCTAGTTTTAGTATCCAAAGAAGTTAAGAAATGAATCAATGTGAAGAACGTTACTCATAGATATATAAGGAAAGTCATACAGTAGATGGAATAAGGAAGGCCCTAATTAAATTTTTTTTTTTTTGGCCATCCCTGATTAAATTGATTATTAGGAAGATATTTGCATTCACAAAGAAGCTCTTGAAGATCAATACAATATTCAGAAGTGGAACAAAAAGAAAGGTTATGGAAACAAATAAGCACATTAAGGCACACCATTTTAACGCCTTGGGCCATCAATGTATGAGATTTTCTTCCTACTTCCAAGTTCAAAAGTTGTCCTAAGGGGTGGGTAAATCATTCTACTTGTCCTAAACATCAAAAATTGTCAAATGAAAAAAAAGAGACAATTATAACAAACTATCAATACAGCTATACAAAGGAACCTTAAGATTAAGAAAGCAAAAAGCAAAAACCAAAAAGAAAGAAAGGGAGATATTGCCCAGCTGCAACAGAGAAGCATATTTCAAATTTCAAATTAAACAACCTAGTAGTTTCATTGATTTGCCATGCAAATTCACATTGCAACATAAATACATCATAAAAAACTATAGAAAGTTCAACAACTTGTCACACCAAAGAGATGATAAAACAGTGAATTAGTCATAAAGTAGTGAAAAAAGACATTGTTCATCCCAAATCAGCTTGTTGCAGCAAAAAGATAATGAGTCAGTAAATGAGTCCTAAAATATTGAAGATCAGAACCAAAGCCACTTCAAAAAAGACATCCTTCATCCCAAATCCCATTACTTGAAACCCCAAAAAAGTGGTTTTTATTGTGATCTTCTATAAGGTAGTTATAGATTAGTGCTTTGTTAAGAACACTTGCTAATTCTTGCATTTACCTCTGCATTGCAGCAAAATTAACATAGTTACCAATTTGATAATTTTAGACAACACAAAAAATATATATATATTTTTAATTTGAGTAATATTACTTGTAAACTTTTTTGGTAGGCCTATCTTCTTTCTCAATTTTCAGTCTTTATTTCCTTACTTGCACTGCATAAAATGTCATAAAAAGCACATGAGCATGTCAATATTCATTAGCAAGACACCTTATTGGAGACAAAGCATCAAGGGCAAAACAATTAAAAACCTATACGAACACAGAAAAGGCAAGAAGAATCTGGTATTACTAATTGTATTATACACAACAGAGGTAACATGAAAAATCTGGTGTTGGCAAACCCCAAGAAGCCATAAAATTATATAGGCTAAAATCCAAATATGTTAATTACCTCACATCTTAAATAGGCTACCTTATTGGAGAAAAACCAAAACTAAAATACTTGGTGATAGACATAAAATCTTTCCACAAATAAATCCCACCCTTCAAACTCAAACCACTCCACAAATCAATCCCGCCTTTCAAACTCAAACCACTCCAGGGCTTATAAAATTAATAGTTACTTAACTCTAAACCATGAATGAGATTAAGTCACAAGTAACATTATGCACAAATACACATGGATGAGTAAATGCAATACCCAATCAGTATGCATTCAACCAAGGCACCTAAAATTAGTTTAGGCAGCAAACAAAGTCAAATGCTTGTAGTTCTCTACTATTCCACAGAAAGAACATTAAACATCCAAAAGAGTACCATAGGAAGCTAGGAAGAGCTTGTAACATGATGAAGCCATAGCGTAGAAAATTACTACCGGACCAGATAATAATACCTTCTGATGACAGCCATACCAAATCCTACCATGTGTCAAATGCAGAAAAATGTAAAAAATACTGCAGTGTATTATGTAATTATCAATAAAAGCAAGCTTTCAAAGTT